AAGAAGAAACAATATAAACAAATAGTGGACACAAAGAGCAATCCAAACACAATAGTATGATCATGGAGTTCGGACCTTCCGTCCTACGTCTCTGCTCCCCACTCCCGAGAAGAACTTCACTATCGATACACCCGGTTTGAAAGCCATAACTTCTCTACACACTCTGTTTTCTAGCATACCGAAAACTCTACAAATCTCTCACAATGTACATACACAAACTATAACCTTAAGTGTTGGTCCTCACGTTTCTCCTCCCTCAAGTGCTTGGCGTTACTACCTCTTTCTAGGCTTTACTACCGACGCCACTCCTCTTGGTATCGACTACGTCCTCACCACACACTCCTCGTGGTGTAAATGTGTATTACAAAGTGACACTCTCACAATAAGGCTCAAGTACAATGATTTGTTCTCTAACAATGAATGAGAACACTATAATAATATATTGTATGAATAATGTTAAAAGCTCAATTGAGGTGTGAGTGATAACTGAGAACAATAAAATTCTAATTCAAATAAGACTAGATAAGATATGAATATGAAAATCAAAAGATAAATAAGCTAGATAAAAGAGTTAGAAATCTTCTCTATAAACCCAAAGAGCTGTAGATAGATGATGAGGATGAATTCCTCAGTTGAAATAAAAAAGCTTCCTCCTTGTGAAAAACTTCTATTTTGAAACAAACTTAAAACAATGCTTAAGTACAAACTAAAATCTTTCAAAACTTTATTAAACAATTTTCTTCCTTACTGTAAGAGTTGAATGCACTGGGGTATTTATAGGCACTCAAGACATCAGCCAAAACCTAGAGAAAAAGACAAAACAACTCAAAAACCAAAAATCTGGAAACTGCATAAAACTAGCCGTTGAAAGGCTTATCAGTCGACTGACGGGTTTCATCAGTCGACTAATGAACTGACCGTTACAGGCAATCGGTAGTTTATCAGTCGATTGATGAACTTTTATCAGTCGACTGATGGATCATCAGTCGACTGGTCAGTCGACCAAAATGAAAAAGAGGCTTTTGATGATTGCAGGTACTTCATCAGTCGATACATCAATCGACTGATATCATCAGTTGACTGGCCAGTCGACTGATAACAGGTTAATTATCAGCCTGAATCGATTTTAAAATTAAGTTTCAAGGCTCTGTAAAAAATAGTAAATAAATTCCAAAAAATGTGAAACTTTGTAAACAATTTATAAACATTTTAACAAACATGTTTAAAAAGGAATTTTGTAAAAAGGTCCTCATATTTGTGAAAACTCAACGTTTATCAAAAATATACATAATACATGTTTTTGATGAATCTTGAAAATAAAGTTTGACATGTAAGAACATGTGAAAACTTTATGAAATGTTTTTATAAACGTTATAAAACATGAATGTAATGTAAACAAGATTAATAAAATAATATTGCATTGTTTTCTCAAATAAACTCATTTTGTAGTAAAATCAAAATTGTGTGTGTGTGTGTGTGTGTGTGTGTGTATATATATATATATATATATATATAGAGCTTGAAATATATTCACACAATATACGCTACAAAACAACTAATTATACCAAAGCTTGATAGATCTTCAATATGCTCATCTTGGTTACGGATGAAGCTTGATCTTGAATATGACTTGATGTGCAATGGCTTGATTCCACTATTCCGTCAATCCTCCATTTGATGTGATCGTGAAGGCTCAATCCATCCAACCTCCAACATATTGTTTGTCTTGAATACCTAATAAGAAAACATAAACACTAGACAAACAATATTAGAAATTATTTGTAATCATCAAAACAAGATTAGAAGATGTAGTCTCATAACATGAGACCTAACAATAATTTTTATGTAAAATGAAATAATTGTTAAAGTGGAATAATTTTTCGCTAGTGGGATATTTTAGTGGGATAAATAGAAATAATTTTGTCAAGTGGGATATTTTGATAAAATAACGTGGGATAAATTTTTATAATCATGAAATATATATTTATGTATTTGAAGATATAAACACTATTTATGTATTTTAAACTTACTATTATTGCTTGATAATTGCTTACAATAATGTTCTTTACTATTAAATACTTGGGGAAAATGTATCAAGGCCCTAAAAAAATAAAGTGGATGTGATCTAGCCCCCTGTATTATTTTTTTTGTGTCAAAGCCCCTAATATATAAAGCAATTATTTTTAACCCCTATTTACATTTCCAAGACAACAAAGAGACCAACATTTTTTTAAAACCCAAAACTGCCCTCTCTCTCTCTCTCTCTCTTCTCTCTTCTCTCTTCTCACCCCAAGGTTGAGGGGTTGCGAGCTCTGCGACGGCGATGCGGCGCTCTACTGCCCCTCCGACTCCGCCTTCCTCTGTTAGGCCTGCGACCGCCGAGGCCACTCCGAGGATCATCCAACCACGGCGAGGTCGGAGGCGACGGTGGCGAGGGTTTTTGAGCAGTGGGGGAAGGCGATGAGGATAAGAAGAGGGAAGGCGATGGGGAGTAAGATATGTTTATTTTGGTTTTGGATCCTCATGAGGACCGGTAACACCATCGATCAGGTACAATGCGAAGCGCAGACACTGGCGCCGCACCAAGGTAGGATTTTGAGGATGCCCTAGGTTTTACTTTCCCTTCACTCTCTTAGAGCTAAGGTTTACTATGTCACTGCTTTGCTTTATTCTATTGAGAGAGAGTTGTTGGACCTTGAGAGCTTCCAATTTTATGTTAGATCTTGCGTGGAGAGTAAATTGCTAGAATGCTTTGTATTTTGACTTGAATCGTGACATCTTGTTTACTTGCTGGATATTGTTAGTGATTTATGAAAAAAATATGTTTATTTTGATTAATATTTTAAGTTTGAGAAATGAAAATGATGGTCACTTGTTTATGGAAAGTCACCAAAAATAATAATAATAATAATAATAATAATAATGTAGTGTTACGTGGAAGATCTGAGGAGATTTTCTTTTTATTTCCATGGAACTTGTGTTTTGCATATACATACATTGTTGGGACTCTTTGATTTATCATAAGGTATAGAGTTTCAAGTAGCATGGAATGAAATCATATGAGAAAAATTGATTGAGGAAAAATATGATGATAATGAACCTCAGTTTGAAGTCGCATGAAATGAAATCATATGAGAAACATTGAACAAAAATTTGATCATAGTGGACCTCACGTGCAATTATTGATCCCGACTCAAATTTAGGAAATTAACGAGGGGTTGTTTTCACTAGAATGTTAGTACTTCACAAATTTAATCTTTTTCATTTTATACAGCATCATATATCTAACTAGCTTGCTACTTTATATCATGCAGTTTTGATTGTGGAATTTTCGTTTCGTTATATATGAAGGCTATAATCCATGGGGTTGATATGAATCAAGTAACTACTCCTGATGCTGAGTCTGATGTCATCAGTGCCAGGCTAGCAGCTAAACTTCTAATAGAAGGATGACAACAAAAGAATCAAGCAGAGACATTTGATAAGGATGGGAGAAAGTTATTCTAAAAATTGATTGGTTGAACAAAAACTTGTGTGCATGTCTGTATTGTATATATTAGTTTAGTACAAATAGTTGATGTGGATGATAAACAATGCAGCAAGCTTGACCTTTATTGTTCTTATTGTATTTTCTAGTATTTTTAGCACCATATGTTTACGTTTTGTTTTGATACAACATATATTTAACAGGTTCAAATGAAAAGCTACATGTTTACTTGAACGTCAACAGGAAAAAACAATACTTAATATGTACATTTCACAAGTTAACATATTCAGTTGCATGTTATCATGTTATAAAGAAGACTGGCATATAATAGTGAAATTTAACATATTATGGTGAAAGTTAACATGTTCATAAGAAAGTTAACATATGCAGATAAAAGTTAACATATACAGCTGATAGTTAACATGTTCACATGAACGTTCGCATATAAACATGAACGTTAACATATACACCTGAAAGTTAACATATACAGATGAGAGTTAACATGTACACGTGAAAGTTAACATGTTCAAGTTAAAGCTAATATTTTCAGCTTAAATTTAATTTATTCAGCTAAAAGTTAACATCTTCACTTGAAAGTCTAAAGAATTTGAAAGTCAACGTGCATAGTTAAAAGCCAACATGTTCATCTCAAAGTTAACGTAGTCAAATGAAAGTTAACATATTTAGCTGAAAGTTATCCAGCTGAAAGTAGTTTTAGCACCAAGACATTTAATTTATAAGAAATACAAATAATATACCCCAACTAAACAAGTATATTACACAAAACTTCTTACATTTTTACAGCTGATATTGCTTGAGTACACTTTAGCATTTTCATAGCAGCATATTTTCATTTTCGTAACAGCATATTATCATTTTTTTTACATCTAAAAGTTAACATGTTCAGCTGAGAGTTATCGTTTTCAAATAAAAGTTAACATGTTCATGTTAAAGTCAACATCTTAGAATAAAAGTTAACATATATAGCAGAAAGTTAATAAGTTCAGCTGATAGTTAATATGTTCAAGTAAAAGTTAACATGTTCAAGTTGACATTAACATGTTCGGCTGAAAGTTAACATATACAGCAAAAGGTTGTTCAGTTAAGAGTTAACGTTTTCAAGTGAAAGTTAACATATTCATGTTAAAGGCAACATATTTGTCTGAAAGTTAACATATACATCTTAAAGTTAACATGTACAACTTGTAGTTAACTTTTTTAATCAAAAATTAATATGTTCAGCTAAAAGTTAACATCTTCACTTAAAAGTTAGCTAAAGAATCTGAACGTCAACGTATACAGTTGAAAGCCAACATTTTCTTTTGAAAGTTAACATAGTCAAATGAAATATTAGCTCAAAATTATTCAATTGAAAGTTTTTATAGTACCAAGATATTTAACGGGAAGCAAAAACAATATGCCTCAGCTAAACAAGTACATTACACAAAATTTGTTACATTCTTACAGCTGATATTACTTGAATATATAATATGATTAGTCTTACAGCTTCACAGATTACAAAAGTTTTCCACAATATACTATAAAATTCTGAATGACCTATATTTCGCTAACATAAGTATTGCTGTAAGAAGCAGTCCACCCACATGTACAACAAACGATATCAAATACTCCTACAACAAGCTGATACATCGCTTATCTATCAATGCTTAATCAAGAACACAAACCCTAGGTAAGAATGGAGAGTTCCACCTGAGCCAACAAAGCTCCATCCTAACAGGGATGCGCCCAAGAGCGGGTAGATGTAAAACCTTCAGATTCCTTAGTTCTTGTCACAAAGCTTCTGGATCAACCAATAGGCAGTAATTGTTGATAATGTTAGTCTATGATAGAAACAACAATGAAATCATTAAAAGAAACAAGAAGTGCTGATAACATGAGAGAATTTTGGATTGTATAGATTGAAATATCTACAAAGAACAAAAAAGATGTAGATCACCCTAGAGTGCAACATAAAAATGTAATGAGATATTTGGTAACCATTTTCTAAAGGTTGTCTTCCTTTCAGGATGCTTTATAAAGATCTGAAGTATAGAAATGGGTAAAAATTTGAGGATAAGTTAGGGATAGAGTTCGTCTCTAACCACATAAACACACAGGGGCACAATCACGTAAGAAGAGAATGCCAAAATTACATGGTTAACGTGTTCTATTTCCCTTACTCACTTTGCATCGAGAACATTTCAGTGGACGTTTGTAAATTATTCTATTGTTTATACGTCTAGTTCTATTTCTTCTCTTCCTTTTAGTAATAATTGGTGGCAATATCTCGATTTCATCTCTTGACACACTTCACTTCTCATAATCTGGGATGAGATAAAAGACTTGGTCATAGCTTTTTTAAACGCTTCTACGAAAATAAAGTAGTGAAAGTTAACAGGTTTGGATGAAAGTTAACATAAAACAGCGAAAGTTAACATTCAGTATGAAAAGTTAACAGGTTTGGATGAAAGTTAACATAAAGCAGCGAAAGTTAACATTCAGTATGAAAAGTTAACAGGTTTGGATGGAAGTTAACATAAAGCAGCAAAAGTTAACATTCAGTATGAAAAGTTAACAAACTAGGAGGAAAGTGCAAAGTTACATGAAATAACCAGTTAGTACTCGTACACCCAGTAACTTTGTAAATAGAAACATTCCACAGCCACAAGCAAATGCAACAAACAACAACATTGATATCTGATGATGCGCCAAATTTTTATCCTACATCCATATTAGAGATGTTAAGTGCAAAGTTACATGAAATAACCAGGACACACCTGAAATAATATTTTTTCCAAATATAGATGTAGCTGTCAAAAAATCACAATAGATAGCTGATCCCCATAAAAACACCGATGATGGAAGTTACAATCTGACGACTTCCAGAAGGCTACAATTTGAAGACTTTCACATAGATCGCTGAATGTTACAATCTGACGACCTTCACGACAACTGATGGAAGCTCTAATCAAACAGCCTTCATAACCAACATCGAGAGTTACAATCTGACGACTCTTGCATATCAAAGAGCTAAAGTAAAGATTACAAAATGACGATCTTTGCAAAACTTCTACAGAAAGAGACTACAAATCAACGGTCTCTTCAAACCAAGACGTGGAAGTCCTCCCCGCACACCAGCATCAAGACGCATCGCGTTCATAGCCACGAACGCAGCTCAAACGTAGCTTCCAAATCGCTGCAAACGCAACCCAGACGCAGCTCTAATCACTGCCAGACGCAGCTCTAATCGCTGCCAAACGCAGCTCAAATCGCCGCCAAACGCAGCTTAAATCACCGCCAGACGCAGCTTCCAAATCGCTGCAAACGCAGCTCAGACGTAGGTTCCAACGCTGCAAACGCAGCTTCTAATTGCTGCGTCCGAGCTTCCAGACGATGCGTCCGAGCTTCCAGACGATGCGTTCTAGCTTCCAGACACTGCGTTTGAATGCAGAATTCATACCAGAACACGGGCCTGCGTTTGACTCGTTCAAACACGAGCTGAACGGTTTCAAAACCGTTTCCCACGATCTGAGGGGATCACAACTCCACTCAGGAGTGATTTAAGGGGCAGTTACATCCCATTAGCCCCACTTAGGAGCGAATTAAGGAGGTGGTTACACCCCTTAATCCCTCTATAAATAGCAACAAACTCAACAGAGTTTGGAGATCAGATTTTTTATAATCAGATCAGGGCTGGATCTTTCGGGCGGTCGGTTGGAACTACTTGGCAGCAACGGAAGAGATCCTTGGGCAGTCATTTGAGGAGATCAACGTCATCCCTCAGCAATATTCGGCAACAGGAGCTTTCTTTATCTTTGGCTTATAGACCGATTTCGGTTAAATCAACTCTTTCATAGAGTTCAAACTCGATCAGAGTTTTGAGGAGATCGACGTCATCCCTCAGCAATATTCGGCAACAGGAGCTTTCTTTATCTTTGGCTTATAGACCGATTTCGGTTAAATCAACTCTTTCATAGAGTTCAAACTCGATCAGAGTTATCAACTCATCAAGAGTTTTAAACTCATTCAGAGTTCTCCACAACATCAATCGTGAGGAGAAGACCACATTCCAGTGAAACAAGACATCGGATCATCAACGAGAAGCAAACTCGACGCGAGCATTCGAGGGAGGCATCTCATCGCCACCGTGAAGAACCCAGAATTAAACAAAGGAGAGAATCCAGATCATTCTCTTCTCTTTTGTAATCAGGAAATCCAATTGTAACTGAGATTAAAGGAATACAAATCAAATTTTCCTTCATTGTCTTTTTACTGCAAATTTTCCCACAAACAAAAAATGGCGACTCTGCTGGGGACTAGCTTCGCTGACGAAGAAGTGGTGGTGCAATTCGATGTTCATCTCACTGGAACAACCGTCGAAACTCTCGTGGTAGAGTTTGATCAAGCCAGGTTTGAGGAGGCCCTCTCCTCCGGATCCCTTAACCCCAAGGCTATGCGCAAGATCCACAAAGTCTCCAAAGAAACTAAAGCTCCAACTGTTGCTCCTATGCCCCCCAAGGCTATGCGCAAGATCCACAAAGTCTCCAAAGAAACTAAAGCTCCAACTGTTGCTCCTATGCCGAAGGAAGACCTCTCCTTTGGGCCAGATTGCTTGGACAGCCCCTCCTCCGAAGGAGTGGGCTCAACTTCGGCCAAACTCATCCACCGAGTTGAAGGCTTTGCGTTCGTGCCAAAGCAACGTTTCTCGTGTCACGAAAGGCCCATAACAGCGACCAACTCTATCGACGACATCGCTGCAAAGGCCTTAAAACAGGCCAACAAGAACGCCGCTCGACGAAGAAGAAGATCTCGACGACGAGCACAACTTCGAGAATGCCGATCCTCAAGTCAACAAGAGCTTCGTGTTTGTAAGCCTAAACGCAACCATGTGCTCTGTGTTTCTGCTTCAGAACGCAAGCCTCGCGTCCATGAGCCCAAACATAGGCTCTGTGTGAAGAAGACTGAGCGCAACCCTCAGGGACGCGTTCCACAAAATGAACGCAACCCTCAGGGGTGCGTTCCACAAAATAAACGCAACTCTCAAATCTGCGTTTCACCAGCAACACATGGAGCTCAGGCATGCGTTCAGAGCCTGGTATATATCGTGGAGCTTCAGGGTCGCTGACCGGGCAGCGAGACCCCCGAATACTCTGCGTAGCGCAACTGGATTGAGGGGCGGATATAATAAGTCCATGGATTCAAGGCACCTCAATCAGATCCATGTTCACCAAGAGCCAGTCCTGTCCGATCATGGACTGGGGGTTCCAATTCAAACCTTACGATCAGTGAGTAATTCTCTAGTCCTTACAACAGACTTGAGAGAGTTCATATCAAGAGAAAGACCGATGCAACAAGTCATTCCTACGGTCCTCTCGGAATATCAATGCTGCTCATATGTGGCCAAACTATTGGTGTTCGACCAATTTACGAATGTTGCTTTGCCTAACCAACGACGATGTTCTCACAGGAAGAAGTCTCCAAAGACCGAATATCCTGAGGTCACTATCAATGTGATCGCCAGAGGAAAAGCCTCAGGTCCTAGTTCCGATGACTCTGAGACAAGTCATTCGCCGACCGTCAGAGAAATCGCTAATGAGTTTGAAGGGATCTACCGACACACTCGGACGCGAACAGGAGCCATTCCCCCTGTCAACTATCGGAGGTTAGCCAAAGGAACCAATTCCGATGATGAACACTCAGCCATCGCGGAGTCTCAATCGTCAAGTTCCTTTGTTGAACGTGAAAGCTCCGCCTATATGACAGAAAGCCATGAAGATCTCGCGAAGAGACTTGATGAGCAGGAGGCCATGCTCAAATCTCAGCAAGAGGCCATCAATGAACTCATGGCCCTATTGACTCAAATTGTCACAGACAAGGCCAAATCTCAGAAGACAGATTCGCCACCTAGGCAAGAATCCTCCCGGAGAGGAAAAACGTCTTCATCCCGACCTCACACAAGCAAATGGAAGGGAAAAGTGGTTGATGACACGGCTTCTGACCAAGAAGCCCACAACCTAGAATCTTCCTCTGATGAAGGAAGAGAACCGGAGAACGAGCAGAATCTTCAGTCTGTCAAAATGGAAGAATTGGAAGCCCGCCTCAATGCCATTTCTAACAGAAGCGAGCTCCAAGACGAGGGAGTTGTCAGACCCTATCCTGCCGAATGGGATACAGCCCCTTATCCTCCAAAATTCGAAGGCTCCTTATCCTCTAAAATTTGAAGTCCCGACGCTACAAACTTTTGATGGCACGGGATCACCGAACCAACATATCTATCATTTCAAGTCACAGACTGGGAATGTGATATCAAACGACGCCATACTGGATCGATTGTTCATTGGCACCCTCAAAGGAGTTGTCTTTGAATGGTTCAGGAAACTGTCTGCTCGATGTATCCAAAAGTGGGCGGATCTAGAGAGACTCTTCCTGTCAAGATTCTTTGAAGATGATACAGAAGTCTCCATCCATACCCTTCTAGCCACTAAGCAAAAGAAGAGGGAGTCTGTCAAAGCCTTCGTCAAGAGGTTCCGAACCATGGCTCTCCGGTGTTCGACAGGTATGACACAGTCTACCTTAGTAGAGACCTGTCGGCACAACTTGCAGACCAACCTCCTAGCCCGAATCGGAGTTGCAGAATGTCGTTCTTGGAGACAACTAATCTCTCAAGGCGAACAGGCTCAAAAGATTATTGCCTCTGATAGTTCATTTCCTCCAAATTCCCCCACCAATCCTCTTCAAGTAGGATGGCGGGTCCACCAAAACTATCACGTTAATGATCACCTCTGATAGTTCATTTCCTCCAAATTCCCCCACCAATCCTCTTCAAGTAGGATGACGGGTCCACCAAAACTATCACGTTAATGATCACCTCTGATAGTTCATTTCCTCCAAATTCCCCCACCAATCCTCTTCAAGTAGGATGACGGGTCCACCAAAACTATCACGTTAATGATCACCTCTGATAGTTTATTTCCTCCAAATTCCCCCACCAATCCTCTTCAAGTAGGATGGCGGATCCACAAAACTATCACGTTAACAGTTACCTCTGATAGTCAAACTCATCAGATAATGGCCCACTAGGTGATGTGCCTTGTCTACCTCTTTTTATTCCCCGGCTAAGTCTTAATCAAGACTGGGGGTTGGTTACTTGGAATCCACAGGATTAAGAGTAACGAATCTTTCACATCGTCGAGTTAACATTACACTTCTGACGATCATCATCCCCACAGAGTATGCATTCAGTTTGCATCACTCCAAATTCTTGTCACGTTAACAATACACCTCTGACAAAACCCACTTATCAATCCTCGTCAATAGGATGATAAGTCCCCAAAGTTGCTCCAATTGCAACACAAATCCTGTCGGTCCTCAAAATTGCTCAAATCGCAATCTTCCCCAGCAAGATACTAAGTCTTCAAAATCTTAGTATCAAAATTCATCGCTTCTGATGATAAACTCACTTAGCAATTCTCCCCAGCGAGACGCTAGTCTTCATAATCTTGTTCAAATCACAAGTACACAAATTCCTGTCATGTTAATATCACACCTCTGACAAAATCAATTTATTAATCCTCTTCAATAGGATGATAAATCCACAAAGTTGCTCTAATCCCAATACATTCTTGTCACGTTAACATCATACCTCTGACAAAAACCCACTTATCAATCCTCGTTAATAGGATGATAAGTCCACAAAGTTGCTCCAATCGCAACACAAATTCTATCACGTTAACACTAAACCTCTGACAAAACCCACTTATCAATCCTCATCAATAGGATGATAAGTCCACAAAGTTGTCCTGATCGCAACATCTTCCTGTCACGTTAATATCACACCTCTGACAAAATTCACTTATCAATCCTCGTCAATAGGATGATAAGTCCTCAAAGTTGCTCCGATCGCAACAAATTCTTGTCACGTTAATATCACACCTCTGACAACCAATCCACTTATCAATCCTCTTCAATGGGATGATAAGTCCACAAAGTTGCTCCGATCGCAACATTTTCTTGTCATGTTAATCCTACACCTCTGACAAAATCAACTTATTAATCCTCTTCAATAGGATGATAAGTCCACAAAGTTGCTCCGATCGCAACAAATTCCCGTCATGTTAACACCAAACCTCTGACAATTTAACTTATCGACTCTCCCCAATAGAGCGATAAGTCCTCAAAGTTGCTCCAATCGCAACACAATCTTGTCACGTTAATATCAAACACCTCTGGCAAACTCAACTTATCGACTCTCGTCAATAGAGCGATAGGTCCTCAAAGTTGCTCCAATCGCAACACTTTCCACTTATCGACTCTCATCCACGGAGCGATAGGTCCATAAAAATACTGTTAGGTTAACATCACACCTCTAACAGTCAAACCTCCCAATGAATTTGTTAATCCTTTTTCAACAAGAATAGCAAGTTGTCATTATAAAATCCCCAGTGGATTAGAGATTTTCTAAAATTATCCCAGTGATAATAAAAAAAAATTTTGAATTTCACTCTAAGTGAAAATTCATGTCAAGTTAATATTACACCTCTGGCGCTTCCAACTTTCTTTCAGTGTTTCAAGTAACACAGGAAGAAATAACGACAAAGTCTATGTGTTCAACATCGTAGCACCAAAATCCATGCCTTTTACGCATGGGGGACTTTATCTCGATCCCTAATTAGAGATAAGCCTACGCCTAACACGCGTTGCCGGTTAGTCTTTTTTCCATAAAAATAACAAAGTCTATGTATTCAAAATCATAGCATCAAGTCTAAGAGGGTTCATTCTCTTAGCATAACGGTACATGTGGAACGGACTTAGACAATCCACATGCTAGCCCGACTCAAACGGTAGTCGGTAAAGGCTTATCAAATCCGTTGATGGCTAAGGGTTTGCCAAAAATCCTATGCACGTTTGCAGGTCCATCAGCTTAATGGATGTGAGCCGAGACTTAAAACAGATGAGCCAAAGACAAGTCTCAAAGACTTAGTCAAAAATGCACGGAAGCCACTTCCATGTCTTAATTCAACACGCAAGGATGAGACCCGCATCTCAAGTTCAAAATGCAGGGTCCACCCCCACATTCCAGAAACATGATTATGGCGCATACCTTCACACAGGTCCTACGTGGCAAATCCCTTTAACCAAGATGCCTTCGAAGCAAGTGCAGAGAACAAATCCTTTACAACAAGGAATCAACAGCTCCAAGATTAGAGTTGAAATCCAAAGTATTCCGAAAATTCGTCCCAGTCAACTACGAACTTTCGAAAACTTTGGAGGGGGTTCTGTAGGCTGTCAAAAAATCACAATAGATAGCTGATCCCCATAAAAACACCGATGATGAAAGTTACAATCTGACGACTTCCAGAAGGCTACAATTTGAAGACTTTCACATAGATCGCTGAAGGTTACAATCTGACGACCTTCACGACAACCGATGAGAGCTCTAGTTCAACAACATTCACAATCAACATCGGGAGTTACAATCTGACGACTCTCATATTCTCAAGGAGCCAAGACGAAGATTACAAGACAATGATCTTTGCAACGCTATGACAAAAGAGATTACTTGTTGATAATCTCTCCAAAGCAAGACGCGGAACTCATCACCGCGCTCTAAGACCAAAACACGGAGGTCCTCCCCGTGTATCAACACCAAAACACGGAGGTCCTCCCCGTGGAAGTCCTCCCCGCACACCAGCATCAAGACGCACCGCGTTCATAGCCACGAACGCAGCTCAAACGCAGCTCAAATCGCCGCCAAACGCAGCTTAAATCACCGCCAGACGCAGCTTCCAAATCGCTGCAAACGCAGCTCAGACGTAGGTTCCAACGCTGCAAACGCAGCTTCTAATTGCTGCGTCCGAGCTTCCAGACGATGCGTCCGAGCTTCCAGACAATGCGTTCTAGCTTCCAGACACTGCGTTTGAATGCAGAATTCATACCAGAACACGGGCCTGCGTTTGACTCATTCAAACACGAGCTGAACGGTTTCAAAACCGTTTCCCACGATCTGAGCGGATCACAACTCCACTAAGGAGTGATTTAAGGGGCAGTTACATCTCATTAGCCCCACTTAGGAGCGAATTAAGGAGGTGGTTACACCCCTTAATCCCCCTATAAATAGCAACAAACTCAACAGAGTTTGGAGATCAGATTTTTTATAATCAGAACAGGGCTGGATCTTTCGGGCGGTCGGTTGGAACTACTTGGCAGCAACGGAAGAGATCCTTGGGCAGTCATTTGAGGAGATCAACGTCATCCCTCAGCAATATTCGGCAACAGGAGCTTTCTTTATCTTTGGCTTATAGACCGATTTCGGTTAAATCAACTCTTTCATAGAGTTCAAACTCGATCAGAGTTATCAACTCATCAAGAGTTTTAAACTCATTCAGAGTTCTCCACAACGTCAAATCGTGAGGAGAAGACCACATTCCAGTGAAACAAGACATCGGATCGTCAACGAGAAGCAAACTCGACGCGAGCATTCGAGGGAGGCATCTCATCGCCACCGTGAAGAACCCAGAATTAAACAAAGGAGAGAATCCAGATCATTCTCTTCTCTTTTGTAATCAGGAAATCCAATTGTAACTGAGATTAAAGGAATACAAATCAAATTTTCCTTCATTGTCTTTTTACTGCAAATTTTCCCACAAACAATAGATTTCTGAAATGTAGCTGCTTTGTGTAAATACCATATCTATAGACATAAAATCAAGGCAAAGATTCTAGGCATTTGTTGAAATAAAAATATCTGTAAACCAGCATGTATCTTATTAAGCAGGCTAGTCAGAGATCCCAACAGTCAGTAAATAGGAAACATAACTAAAATTTTGCATATCCAACAGTCAAGCAATTACAGGAAGTTAAGAGTTTACAGGCTTGGGTGTATGTTGTAGATGTAGTGATTGTTTCAAGCCACAAGTTAGCATGGTTAAAATGTGGGCTTATGTGCAAGATATTATATAAGCAATTAAGATAATTCCCATAAAAGGGATGATGCTTAACAGAACTGAGGGGTTCATGCAGCCAAACATAAAGGTCAATGATATGGATTTTGTTGTTGATGTTGTTGCAGATTGGCACAGTTAAACTAAAGCAGTACATTTTATGAGCTTATGTTCTTGAATTTCATCAATTGTTATTTTAAAAAAAAAGAGCATTTGCAATCAATTGTGTATTTTATCTTGCGAGGAGAATACACAACAAATACAACCATGCAAATGAGAGAATAACATATAAGGGGCATAGTATTACTCATTGACCGGATCTGTGAGGATACAAAAAGAGCTTCCTTAACCTACTATTGCAAACAATGATAACTGAATCCCCTCGAAGAAACATCTTACTGATGAATCTGTCCTTGTTAACGGGGAGTGCTTTCTTCGTACCCTTCCCAGTTTTTGGAATCTACAAATCACCAGAACATTAATCACGAGAAAGACAAATACATGACATAAATGAATCTAAAAATTACTAGGCAAAAAGTCGGGGTTTTAAGATACCTCAGTCCACATTTCTCTTACGTTTTCCAGAACCATGTTGCAGTGGCGGTCAAAAGCCCTGACACGACCGAGAAGTTTCTTGTTGTTACGACAATTGATGAGCATCTGGACAGAAAATTAGATGTACAAGAGTTAAGCTTCTTTCTAAGTTAAGAATTTTTTTTATTAAAGTGGTGTAACATATGAAGCTATTTGCTAGTTAAGGAAAATGAAAATGAGAAAATCTTTTTCCACTGGCATTATATGACCGAAACTTAATAACTATGCTATTTCATGTGCATTGATCCAGCAAAATAAGAGAGAAAATCCTCATCCTAAAGCATTATTTAGCTCCAAGGATATCATTACTTCCTATTACTTGACTTCTCTAAAGATCGAGGATGGAAACAGATATTCCTGGCTTCGTATAAAAATGAAAGAGAAAATCCTCATCATGTAGCATTATTTTGCTCTAAGTAAGCATATCATCACTTGCTATTACTCAGTTCTGAAAACCATTACATTCTGAACTGGTTGCAGCACAAAATACAATCAGCATCCATTATAATTATTCCCAATAAAAGCAAGAATTTGGAAAGTAAATTCTCTGGAGATCGGGGATAACATAAATATTATACTGGATTCATATAAAAATGTAAGAGGGAAGGCATATATGCCTTACCTGGGGGTTATTCTTTACGCTCATCGCCAGAACAGAGAGAGGTCCCGTATTGAATTCCTCTTCCTCACAAATACTCTAGTGAGCTGCATGCACTCAATCCCAAATGAAATAAAGATCAAAATCAAAATTTCTTTTTTTTTTTGTTATGGGTCAATTCACAATAAGGGTATTAAAAATTGATAAGAAAATTAAAAAAATTGATACAGATAAAAGAGGAAGCACTAACCATTTCATCCGCATTCTCAACTTGATCAGTGATGATGCCCACATCATCCTCCTCATCCGCAGTCATGTACTCAAAATGCCCATCTTCATTCGTGGACATCCTCTCCCTGAACCCCAACTATTTGTTGTGCGCAGCGGAAATTTCAGCAGAGTTTCTGGTGCACAATAAGAGAGAAAGATCGATAAGAATTCTTGTTTCACCAAGGAAACAAGAATCTGAAGCGGATATCTCAACAAGGTGAGATATCGGCTCTTCCTCTCATCAGTTCTAGGACTGACCTGTCGAGGGATCCTACAAACTATTACAATGGCCACAAACTCAAACAACCAATTTTACGTGGTTCGGCAAACTGCCTACGTCCACGGGGCAAAGAGGGGGATCTACTAATAGAGGGAAAGAAATAGGGTTTACAATCTCTCAAATTTAAACCCTCAAACAATCTCTCAATCTCTCACAAAAAAAACACAAAAAGGACTGCACACTTTTTCTCTGTAGCCACAAACACCTCTGCTTGCGCTCAAAATCAGCCGCAACAAATCCCTCGTGTTTTTCTCCTTCAGCCGCAAAATCAAACCCCAGACTTGCACCATTCACCGCCTCCTGCACGCCAAAACCCTAAAAGAAATAGCCTATATATAGCTACAGTTCGGGTGGGCCTTCAATCAACTCCTGCCAGCATGCGTGGCCCCCACATGCCGCAAGAAACCGCGTCTCCTGCTTTGCCTTAACTTTGTTCCTAGCCGTGGCCCCCACTAGCTTTGTTCACGAGATTTTTTTTCTTTTCACGCGTTTTTAGCCGGGGTTGGGGAGGTGCTCGTGGGTATGATGGACCCTACTTCACGTGCTCCAACAATTCTCCATCTCGGCGAAGTTTTTCCAAAACTGAGCCGACACCAACTAAACCAAATGTCTCACTTGTTATGTCCAGTACGAAGTGAAACAATTCACGACAACGGACTCAATCCATAACAAGTCGAGAACCCAAATGAGAGTGCAAACACTCTCCAAATATCGGTATCAACTCACCAAATCGATCTCACCCCCATCAAAATCCAAACCCGGTTGCATCATAAAGACTGCCTACGTATCCTCTTGCCCAAGGAATCAAGCCGAACGTAGTTCACCCAAATGGCCTCCAAATGCCTCAATCTACTAGAAGAGTTCGCAACCCTTCTCCATTATCATCAACTCTGCGGCTGATAGCACCTCCAATGGCCTTAAACACCTCCACCTGAGGTGAACCAATGGTCATATCCAAACTGCATCTATCAGCTGCACTCGAGTCAAAACCCAACTCATCATCTGCATTCGAATCCAAATGACTTCCACGCTGTGTCACCTCAGCTGGAATCCCAACCAATGCAGAATGACCTGGAGTATGTGGGAAAATCCCCACCCAATGTGGAGTAGCATCAATCTCCACCCACTGCGATACCTCTAAGGTCTGTCCAAAACTCTTCACCTGCTGAGAGTCAATCGGCTCCCTCGTCGAAGCCTTATACAAAGTGACACTACCAGACCTATCTTCCAATAGAGTTTTACCTCCAATCACAGCAGTTGACAACTTTTTAATAGGATGACCCAAATTTGTCGAAGCCTCTGTCCAGAAACTCTTCTGCAAACTATTGCTTGACAACAAACACCGATCCTCCTCCAGCAAGGTACGGTTCTCCAAATTTGTCACTCTATCTAGTTGTCCCAAGATTTCCTTTCTAACGAAGTGTCTCGAAATGCCGTGAGCTCGGCTCCAATACAGAAATAGGTCCATCTTGTACCTCCCATCAGAATGGAGTACCTTCACCTTTCTGTCTATTACACACTTCTTTAATTTGTTGGATACTACTAGGACTTTCTCCAAAGGGGATTTGGTTGCAACCCAAACACGCCTAGAACAGTCACCAACAAAGGAAACCAAACGTCTATTACCTCCTAATGATGCTCCCTTGGAAGGCCCCCAAACATCCACATGAACCCCTCTAGAACGACCCTTAGCACGGTGAATAGAGGTGCCACACTTCACCTCGGTCTTCTTGCTCACTTCAACATGTTCACTGGACTTCAAACTGCAAGTCTTTGCATCCTCTTTCAATCTATGCGAGGAATCAATATTGGAATGGCCAAGCCCCAAATACCACAGTCTAGTCGAATCAACAGAAGTCGTCAGCTCTCCACCTGCCACTATACCTCCAGTCAAGTAATACATGTTGTTTTTCCTGACGCCCTTCATCAAAATACGAGAGTCTCTCGCAATCTCAAGAACCATGTCCTCAACATGAACCTTCAGACCCTCTCCAACCAAAGCTCCAATCGAGATCAAGTTCTTTCTCAAAGAAGGAACATATCTCACATTGTTTAACTCTCTAACAGTCCCGTCAAACATCTTTATGCGAATTCTTCCTATCCCAAGGATCTGACATGCACGGTTATCAGCCATGTACACCACACCACTATCCACCAGCTTCTCAAAACTAGAGAACCATTCCCTTCTAGGGCACACATGATAGGTCGCACCACTATCCAACATCCATTCAGATTCCTCCGAATAGCTATCTGTAGGACTGATAGAAAGCGAATAAATAGAAGAGTCAGAATTATTCCCATCCGATACGATGTTTGCTTCTGATGATGGCTGCTTCCCTTTTCCCTTCTGCTTATTCTTCATCCATTCGTCGAGCTTTGGGCAGTCTTTCTTCCAATGATCAGTCTCCTTACACCAAGCACACTGATCTTTTCCAATTGTAGGATGCCCTACTCTAGACTGTGACTTCCAATTCTTCCGGTTTGGATTCTTCCCTCTTGTGACTAACGCCTCTGCTACCGACTCAGTCGAATTCTCCTTATCCTTCTTCCGAAGCTGATAATTCACCAATGCAGCAGTGACCTCACTATACGAAAGAGATGCCTTCCCATTAATCAGAGTAAGGACGAATGTCTCATATTCCTCGTCGGGCAAGGAACTCAACAACAGCAACGCCTTGTCCTCATCTTCAATCACGACATCCACATTCGCCAAATCCGCAAGAAGCTTTGTGTAGTGGTTCATGTGATCTCTAATGGAGGTTCCCTTCTTCAACTGGAAACGATAAAGTCTCCTCTTCAAATGCAAGCGATTTTCCACACTCTTGGTCAAATACTTGCTTTCGAGAATCTCCCAAATCTTCTTCGCAGAAGTCTCATTCATCACATCATATTTTAGATCTTGAGTCAAACAAGACCTAATCACACCACACGCCGTTCGATTCATCTTTTTCCAAACCTTCTCTTCAATCTCATCTGGCTTGCCATCTAACTCCAAGGTATCCTCCAAATTCTGCGCGTTCAGCGCATCCAAAACCTCGCATCTCCATAATCCAAAATTGTTTGTGCCATTAAACTTCTCCACATCTATCTTCATAGAGTGGATATTCAAACTCTGAATAGTCTTCACGCCAGAAGAACCACCCTCGACTCCCGAAGCACCTTCTTTCCCCGACATCTTACGCACCAACGAACAAAGAATAGATCCAAAACTGAAAGATAGAGTCTTTACCAAAAGATCCCACCTTTATCACCAACGAAGTCCTAAACGGGCCTCCAAATTGATCTACTCCTCCAACCAAACCCTAGATCTGGAATCTGGGCTCTGATACCACTTGTTGTGCGCAGCGGAAATTTCGGCAGAGTTTCTGGTGCACAATAAGAGAGAAAGATCGATAAGAATTCTTGTTTCTCAAAGGGAACAAGAATCTGAAAGCCTAATATCCCATCAAAGTGGGATATTTGCTCTTCCTCTCGTCAGCTCTAGGACTGCGCGTCGAGGGATCCTAAAAACTATTACAATGGCCACAAACTCAAACAACCAATTTTACGTGGTTCGGCAAACTGCCTACGTCCACGGGGCAAGAAGGGGGATCTACTAATAGAGGGAAAGAGAATACAAATAGGGTTTACAATCTCTCAAATTTAAACCCTCAAACAATCTCTCAATCTCTCACAAAAAAAACACAAAAAGGACTGCACACTTTTTCTCTGTAGCCACAAACACCTCTGCTTGCGCTCAAAATCAGCCGCAACAAATCCCTCGTGTTTTTCTCCTTCAGCCGCAAAATCAAACCCCAGACTTGCACCATTCACCGCCTCCTGCACGCCGAAACCCTAAGAAATAGCATCTATATATAGCTACAGTTCGGGTGGGCCTTCAATCAACTCCTGCCAGCATGCGTGGCCCCCACATGCCGCAAGAAACCGCGTCTCCTGCTTTGCCTTAACTTTGTTCCTAGCCGTGGCCCCCACTAGCTTTGTTCACGAGATTTTTTTTCTTTTCACGCGTTTTTAGCCGGGGTTGGGGAGGTGCTCGTGGGTATGATGGACCCTACTTCACGTGCTCCAACACTATTTTGATCAAATTGAAACCGAACACAAGGTCAAGAGAGGAGCAGTAGCTTGGAAATGGCCTTGAAGTGGCTAGGGCTGACGTGGTAGGGGACGGAGGTGATTTGGACGAAGGGGTTGTCGGGGAGGGAGAAGAGTTTGATGGCGGGTAAGGAGGGAGAGGGAGAAAGACCCCAGTGAAAAAGAGGTTGAGGGAAGGGGCAGAAGTGATGATGGGGGGGAGGAGGAGGAGGAGGAGGAGAGAGATGAGGGCATTTCCGGTAGCATATGAAAAATACACGGAGTATACGTATAAATGTGAGCTTTTGGGGCTAGGGCACATTTTGTAGCCTTTTTTTAGGCTACAGAGTAAGGGAAAAAAATTAGGGGGATGGGCCACATCCAATTTTTTTTGGGGGGGCTTGATACATTTTTCCCTAAATACTTTTGATTAGACTATTAGATATTGACAACTAATATTATAATGACGGTCTAATGATGGTGATAACCATAATAGGAAAGAAGTAAAGAAAAAAAGAAATATAAAAAATAAAAATAACAAAATAAATATGAGTTCTAGTTTTTTACCACCTAGTTCTAAGCTAAAACTTGGAATAATTTTATGAGTTCTAGTTTTTTACCACCTAGTTCTAAGCTAAAACTTGGAATAATTTGAGAGACTAGAACTCTTATTTTTGTATAGTTCTAAGCTAAAACTTGGAATAATTTGAGAGACTAGAACTCTTATTTTTGTATAGAAAAATAAAAAAAAATGGAATAATTTTATACTATTATCCTAAGTCTAGTTTTTTTGGAGTTCTACTTGACTAACACTGTAAAATTTTATTCTAGTTTTAGTTCTATGTGACTAACATGTTAAAAATTTATCCCACAGATTATCTCAGTTCTAATTTTAAGTTCTAGGTGACTAATCCCCCTAATAAAATTTAGGGTGTGTCCCAAAATTTTCTCTTCATAAAAGCAGATTTAGTTGGGCCTTTATTGCTTACGTGACAAATGGGAAAGTATTGAACCCGGCCTAGACGAAGGTTTCGTTTCTGGCTGAAAAATTGTAGCGTTAAAGTTTGGGTTTTTCTTATCAAAGCAAGTTTAGTTGGGCTTTTATTGCTTAGTTAAGGAACACGCATAGGAAAGTACTCGACCTGCCCTTGACAAAGATCTGGTTTCTGGCTAAAAATTTGTAGTATTAAAGTTTGGGTTTTTCTTATATTGGTCCCTGATATCTAACATATTGCTAAGGACAAATTTTTAAAATAGATCCTTTTAGAAACTTATTTGTAAAAAACGACATATTTTGAAAATATTTGTCAAATTCGATCCAGTTGCAACTGGCTGAAACTAGGTCGAATTTGACGAAAAAACATCAAAAACTTTACTGTGGAGTTGCAGGTTTCAAAAAACATGCATAGAATGTGTGCATTATATACATGTAAAAATTTTACAACAATATACATGAATATTTCCGCCTCATTCACAACAATATACATAAAATTTTCGCATCATTCACAACAATATACATAAATCAAACAATACACACGAAAATTACATATATACTGAATTGCAATAATATTCATAAAATTCAACCATGAATCAAACAATACACACGAAAATCACATAGATAAATAATAACCGATCCACAAAAGTAACAAATTTGAACAGTCTAACCATATCGTTCTTGAAATTCATAATCATATTGTAATGAACACTCCTAAAACCCAGCTTGAGCTACCAATTATAGTACTCGATCATCCTCCATCTCCCAGCCCGAGTGACTCTGGGAATGGTTCACTATGCTGATTTCTGCTACGGACTGCACATTAATCAAAATTGATAAAATTTATTAAGAAAAATTAAAACTAGCGCAAAAAATAAGGAATATATATACAACATTTTTTACCTATACCAAGCCAATCTTGTGTGAATGATGATCTGTCTAAAGGTATAATACGTCGGGCTGCATCTGTCCCGGATCCATAATGGATATCTCTGAGATTAAAATACAATATGTTAGATTTTTCAGTTGAGTGACTTAATCATATGTATTTTGATGGCCAAAATTTAGTAAAGAATACATCCAGCATAGAAAAGAAAAATAAGAATAGAACATGCATAACGATTGTCACGTATTCAAGATTCAAAATAAAATGTTATATATTACAAAACGATTGTCACGTGGAAACAAGGATTAAAAATAAAATGTTATGTATTACAAAAACCATAAACGATATATTCCATGCAACTGTCCCCGGATAATCAACGCCTAAGGCTAGTTGGACAACTGCTTTTGTTATGGCCCGGTTGATCGCACCTACTACACTTATTTTTCCTCCTGATTCCTTCTCGACCGTCATCCATATTATTTCTAATTCGTACAGAATGAGGTCACCCAGCTGACCTTTTATACAAATGAGGTAATATTCATGGCCCGCCTTATGTCCAATGTCGACTATCATATGGTGGACGAAAATACTCTTTGTACGTTTATTGATAGTTATAAGTTGAATATCAATCTGCGGCGAATGTATAATGTGAAATCCTCACACCATCATGTAGATCTGAACAAGCCTTGACAACATGGAAATAAGAAAGCAATTGTAATTGCGGTATATTGCAAGTGCATGTACAAGTGTGATCCACTAGCATATTAACTTTGTAAGAGTAAATTTCTCTATGTGATATTCCCTCAATGACTTATTATTCATTAAAATTATATCTAACGAATCGAAATGATTGAGCCTGCACAATCTGATCCGCTAATATGCCTTCAACCTTCGGCGTTAGCTTTGACGGGATATTTGCACCAAGTGTGCGTCGTCTAAGGAAGAACTTATTAAGTCTGTAAAATGTTTTTGCAACTAATGACTGTATTGGCATACATCGTGCTCTCGTAAGCACACCATTAAAACTTTCAGAAGCGTTAGTGGTCATCATACATAATTGTTTTCTGCTATCTTTACATGAAGCCCACTTATCAGCATTGTTCAAACCCAAACTAGTCTCGATCCAATCATGTGCATTTCATGAAATAAACTTAATCTTCTCCCATAGTTGCTCATAAACTAATTTTCCGTTGTACATCCAACTTGCCAAATAAGATCTTGAAGTTGCACTTGTCCATGCTTCCTCTTGAAGTTGTCCCTAATATGTCGCAAGCAATAGCGATGTTGATGTGGCGATGAAAAATATCGTTGGAGTGCTATTGGGATTCCTTTCATCCTATCAAATATGAATGTAATCGACCGCGTTCACACACTAGGGATATGATATCTAATACATGCAAAAAATCATGCCTAATTTTTCGTGTTTTCAACATCAACCACTGCAAAGGCCAAAGGAAATAAACTGCCATCTGCATCTACTCCGGTTGTAACAAGCAAAAGGCCTTTATATTTACAGTACAAATGGGTGTCGTCAATGCTAAGAAGAGAATGACAATATCTGAATCCCTCAATGCAAGGTCTAAATGCTCAAAATACATATGTGAACTGTCTATCTCCGCCATCAATAAGGTCTGATGATACTTCATACATTGTCCCCGGATTTTCTTTTTTGAGAGCTTCAAGATAATGTGGTAAGATCTCATAAGATTTATCCTAATCTCTGAATATTTTTATCATCGCCTTCCTCCGAGCATTCCAACACTTGTTGTATGATACATCCAAGTTGGTCCATTTATGCACTAAAAGACGAATATCATTTAGTCTTAGATCAAGATTCTCCCTTAGTTTAGGCATAATCAATCGATATACAAAAGAGATGGACGCGTGTTTATGATTTATCTCTAATCGAGGATTGGTACAGGTGTGAAGTCAGTTGTAGTGTGTTATTTTAAATTGTCTGCCTACTCTTACACCCAAGCGTGAATTAAGCTTTCAAGGACATTTTGCATTGATGTCGTGGTGCCCACCACTATCTTCTTCTTAGCCATCTTATATAGGCCATGCCCCAACTCCACGGGATTTCAAATCCCGTGGAGTTACAGGCTAAATTCAGATGCTCTCTAGAATTTAGCCTGAAGCTTCACGGGACTTGAAATCCCGTGAAGTTATAAGCTTCACGGGATTTCAAACCCCGTGAAGCTTTGGCTTCCCTAATCAACACATTAATGGTGGGGGGCTTACACTTCACGGGATTTGAAATCCCGTGAAGTTTTTGATGTTTTTTTTTGCCAAATTCAATCTAATTTTAGCTAACTAGCTGAAACTGAGTCGAATTTAGCAAATATTTTTGAAATAGGTCGTTTTTTACAAATAAGTTTCTAAATGGGTCTCTTTTGAAAACTTATCCTATTGCTAAATAAGTCCCTCAGAGCTAGCTTATATATTTTAAATAACCGATTCTATGAGCTCTAATATTATGTATTTTAAAAGTCTTTCAAATCTAAAAGTTTTTTAAATAATTCCCCACATCGGTAACTGTTAACTCAAAGTAAACTAAAGTTCATTAATCTTATCCGTTTTGCCCTCTTCTGCCCTATACATTTTTTTGCTAGAAACCCTTCCGCTTCTTTCCCGATTGTTATTCATTGATAAATCTCTATTCTATTTTGTTGAAGCCTTGAAGGTATTACTTAGTACTAAATGAGGAAGATGAGGGAAAATAAGATTGATGTAGTTTAATTAATTGGGAGTTAACGTATCAATTTTTAGCACAAGAGACTTGTTTAAGAGAACTTAGAGATACTTTATGATCTATTTAAAATATTTGCGATTTGTGTACTTACTTAAGAGAACTTACATATTTGCGGGGACTTATTTAAAAATATACCAGATTGTTGGAGACTTTATGATAGGACAACACTTTGATAAGGGTGGCACTACAGGCACACCAGTAAACACACATTGTGTCACACCCCCTCTCTCTGCTAACGTGCGAGGGGGCCACATGAGATTTTAAAAAAGATTCCATGTGGACCCTGCGCACTGTAGCAGGAAGAGGGGGTCGTGGCACAAGGTGTGCCTGTACCATTTTACCTTTGATAATAGGACAAGAATTCCCAGCTTTACAGATTTAGGATGGATTATTGAGGCTTTCGAAAGGGCTTACTATTAGTTGAGATAAAAAAAAGGTGAGGAACTTGTTTAATACAAATTTTATTTCAAAGTAACATGAACCTCACTTCGAAGCGACACCTTGTTGTTGAACTATCTTCAAAGTGTAATAGCACCGCTACAAATGAAAGTATAGTAATATAAAAGTTATTAATCAAATAACACATTAATATGACCATCTATAGTCGCTCTCTATTTCTAGGGGGTGGCAAGCACAAAAACAAAACTTCAACTATTCTGTTTCTCAGCCCGCACCACCATCAAATCTCTGGTCATAAGCCCTCATAGAAACCTCACTGGCTCACTAATTTCTATTCCCAAAACCAAATTAATCCCATCAAAATTCCTCATTTTCTCACTCCCTATCTTCCTCATCGTATAAAATCCAGACTTTCTCCTCAAACACCAAATTAACCAAGACGACTCTCAATGAAGACCCTGAGAACTCTAATAGCCGGTCTCCTCTGCTTCATAGCAGCCTCCCTCTCGAGCGCCGGCGTCGGCGGCGGGTCCCTCTACCTCCCCATCATCAACCTCGTCGCCGGCCTCGACCTCAAGACAGCCAGCACCTTCTCCGCTTTCATGGTCACTGGTGGGTCCCTCTCCAATGTCCTCTACACCCTCGTCTTCTTCGCTGACCCCAAATCCTCAATAGACTACGATATTGCTCTGCTCTCGGAGCCAAGCATGCTGCTTGGCGTCAGTGCTGGAGTTCTGGGCAATGTCATGCTCCCAGAGTGGCTGATCACGGCCCTCTTTGCCCTGTTTCTTGGGGTTTCTACTTACAAGACTTTTGAAGCTGGGTTCAGGTGCTGGGGAGCTGAGAGTGAGGAGGTGAGGAGATCTGGGATCATTGGGGCCCAGGATGGCGAGGAGGAGGAGGAGGAGCCACTGTTGTTGAGCGGGGAGGGATTTCAAGGGAGTATCCAGTGGAGGAAGATGGTGGTTCTGGTGGTGGTGTGGTTGACCTTTTTTGTGCTTCACGTTGTCATTGCTGATAAGGGTGATAAGGTATGTGGTACTAATTTTTGTCCTTTTTCTTTACTAATTTTGGTTGGTACTTGGATATTCTTGAGGAACATGCGAGAAAATGTTTGTTTCCTTTTTAAGGGTTAATTTTAGATGCACCCCGTTCCTAAATTTTTCGTCAGCGCTTGAGACGCCCTGATGCCCACGCCGACTTGTCTCCCCGATTCGTCTCCGGTCATGTGGATATCACGTGGCTTCAATATAGCAATATTAATGCGTTAGCCTTGTGATATTTCGTTGTTTTGGTGAGAGATGCTTGTTTTTCGGTCCAGCGTGTCACCTCGTCAGGGATCAACTCTTCCACGGTCTAATCTGATATGAGTTTGGTTCCTTCACATATCTTTAAACGTAAAAATTTAGGGGGGAGATGTGAAATAAGTACCTTCCTTTTGATTCACATATCATTAATTTTCTTGCCCGAGCATGTCAATTTCTTCCTCTTCGTTTCATTCGCACGCTTTGCTGAGATCTTTTTTCAAGTGATGGTGACTCGCGTTGGGTTGAGCGAGGCCGGAGGCTGATAAAATTAGGGAAATGCAAAACAGAATATTCTTAACTTTTAATGCAACTGTTTGCAGCTAGACGACCTATCTAAAATGGACAACTTTGAGGGTGATGGAAACAACAAGGGACGATAGCCGACGTCCTTTCACCCAAAAGATGCGTATTTTCGTTTGTCAAAAGCTATATAGATCAGATTAGGACTGGAATAACAGGCTTTAACAGTGATCTATAGCCAATTACATAAAAACACAGAATCTAATCTAGATTCAATTGAAGGGGCCTCAGCATTCGAACAAGATGAATTCGAAATTAAATCTACATTTCCTGTACATAATGTAATTATTGAAAAGTAGGTAAAGCATGAATAATGGATTATGTGTAAAATAAGACTGTGGAATGTTTACATCACCACACACATAAAGTAAGCCAATGATTACGATAAAGCCCATCTATGCATCATCTATGTGCATCAAATTCTCATATACTTCCCTTTCAAAAACGCAAAAACCCCATCGCGCTTAAATAAAACCCCTCTACTTCACTTGGGCAGGTCACAGTTCAGAACTATCTCAGCTTCTCAAGTTGAAGTTTAAAAAAACCACATACAAGACATTAGTTTATTCATTGGACCTTGCACAGCCTAACAAGATAATATCAACTTGTGATGGCATCCAAAAGTTTCAAATAGTCTTTGTGTTCATCTTAAAGTGACGCTGTGACATAGCATATTTATATACAACATGTATTTTCAATTTCTTTTATCCAACTAGCTCTTATCCAGACTTACAGAACTAAATATATATAATAATGTCTCTCTCTACTTGGTTAATCTAAATTAACGATACGCGATATTATAAGAAACATGATCATGTTTAGGATTACAATGGAGCTGATGCTATTGGTTGCAAATCCTGGTCAGGCTAGTTTTTGGATTACACAAATCTTTAGATCCAGGATTCATGATTTTGACTTGAATAGAGAGAGCGTATTAGGCTCTTGTTTACTTTGAACCATTTCTTTTCATCGATGCACACGTATGAAAAAGATGTGTGGATCCACCACTTTGGCTAGCACTTTATGGGTTGTTCTTATATGACCAATAATAGATGCTGTCACTCAATCTCAATCTCAATGTACATAAAAAATTCTGTACTTCTTTTAAATTTCCATGATGTGACAGGAAAAATAGTGTAGCAAGGGAAAATATTGCAGTGTTTTGAGATATTTAATAGCTGAAACATTAGTCCTTCAGAAAAAGATAAGTGTTTTGCTACTATTTTGGCACTACAAGAAACAAAAGAGTGGGATCGTTCCTTAAAAGTTGTTAAAAAAGAAACGATGAGTCATCATGCCCTGCTATTTTGTTTCTTATAGTGCCAAAGCAGTAAAAAAAGAGTAGTACGCTAATCACTACTCTTATTCTTTCATTAAATTGAAGAGGCAAAATACTTAACATAATAATCACCGTTGCCGTTGTCAGCAAGGATATTCCTCTATTTCCTTATTATTTTTTTAAAGGTTCCGAACTAATTGTTTCTCTAACTTAATTGTCACATCCAAGTTGTCTAGAATAATTATTTTCGTGAATCTAATCAACCAAGGTTCAACCTATGCACAAACTTAGTTGTCATGTACTATGGAAGTGTCTACATAATAACATAGAAGAGAAACTATAGACGTGGTATTGTATTTCATTGAAACTACAGAGTACAATAGAATACCGAAAGTTACTTGACTCTGTATTTTCTAAAAGACACGTCCTAAGTCAGAAGTCTGTAAAGTAAGAATTCATTTTCTGTTTTGTTTAAAACAAGGCTACTTCATTTTAGTTCTTAATTTTATTTTGCCTAATTTGTTCTGTTTAAAGAGCTCATTCTCGAGCTTTGACTAATTTATTTTGCCAAAAAATGGGAAATTGTCTAGAGCAAACTATCGATATAAACATAAAACATGTTTTTTAATTTTAAAAGAATCTAATAAGCCGAGATTCAGTTCTTGCAGGAAAATACTGTAAATAATATGCCAATTACATAAGTACGGATGTGAATTGAGGATATAAGGGGCGCAATGCTATTATTGACTGAAATCTCAGTACATAGAACAGGTTATGAGACAATTAACAGCTAGTGAATACTGTTAACAAACATATGCTGTTATTAACTTTAATGCTTATTTATTCTGTTTAATGACAACTTTTGTCTCTTTAATTGGTTAGTTGATCCATTTAATCTGATAATATGCAATATATAAATTCTTTATGCAGAAAATTCTACAAATTAGGCCTTGTGGAGTTCTATACTGGCTCATCACCTTGTTCCAAGTTCCTCTCGCAATTGGTTTTACAGCATGTATTCTGTATCAGAACCGCAAAATGCAGCACCAAACACCTGATCAAGAGAAAGATAACCAGGTTACTTCAATAATTACTTCTACAAGCCACTTGTAAATTAAATGTTTACATGATGCTCACTTTGAAAAATATAAATATTTTTACGAGTCTGTAACTTTCTCCTGCAGGGAATTATAGTTCATTCTAGGATGAAAGAACTTCCTGCCGTCATTTTTCCATTGGCTGCACTTATATCAGGGATACTAGGTGGCCTCTTTGGAATTGGTGGTGGGATGCTCATAAATCCTGTACTTCTTCAAATTGGAATACCTCCGCAGGTAAAATTTCTATTTCAGTCTCATCCTCGATGAATTCTTAAACTAAAATTTTACATGCTTACTCTTGGGTTTTGAAGGTAACAGCATCAACAACCTCCTTTATGGTTTTATTCTCATCTTCAATGTCCATGGTTCAGTATTTGATCCTTGGAATGAAGGCTGTTGAAGAAGCTGCTATATTTGCTGCGGTTTGTTTTTTCGCTTCTATTGTTGGATTGGTTCTCATTCAAAGAGCCGTAGAGAAGTTTGGAAGAGCTTCTCTCATTGTGTTCTCAGTTAGTATAGTGATGGCGTTGAGCGTGGTTTCTATCACTTGTTTTGGTGCAATAGATGTTTGGAGAGAGTACAAGAATGGAGAAGACATGGGATTCAAACTCCCATGTTAAAGTTTTGTACTGAACTAGTGTAGTTCAAAATAAATATAGAGGTAGAAGCATTACATCCTTCGAGTGCAAAATGAAGTGAACTTGGCTCTTGAATCGTGTGTTGTGTTCACAGTTGATTAATGAAATACAAATTGCAGGGAGCATCATAATTGAGTCAGGTACATAGAGCTTTTCTTTACCTTGGGTGCCATAGAACTTTTTGCTTGGTATTACACTATTACTGTAGCTTTTTTCACGGTTTTTCTATAGAGTGCCTATGGGCACTCTATAAGGGAGGAGAGAGATAGAGAGAAATGAATAGCTCATGAGCCCTCCTAATTTGCATTAATTTCTGTGCATGATTTATTTCTCTCTCTCTCCTCTATTATAGAGTACTCATGGGCACTCTATAGAAAAACCTTTTTTTTCAAGAGAATATTGTAGCTAAAATGTGGATTGTGTCTGAAGAAAATAAATGTATAATAGGATGAAATATAAATTAACAGAGAATACCAAAGAGAGATTCCCTCCTCTATTAACGAATTTAAACCTCCATAGACAATGAATATTAAGCTGTAGAGAATGGATTTGAATTCTTTGTAGTTAAGTTTTCATCAGATAATAATTGAAGATTTTCTATACATTATATTGGTACCAAAATGCTGTACTTTTCAACTAAACCGTGATCAGAGAAATGTTCTCTCAATGCGCTAACTCGTACGAAGTTGCGGGAACAAATAAATAATGTGGCAGTTGTGCTTTCCCACTTTCAAAGCTACAATCTGCACAAAATTCAATATTATAGGTTACAGCTTCTCCAATTGTAAGGGTTTATATAATATCTGCAAACCCCCCTTACTTTCTTAGAATTGAAAAGAGGGAAAACTACTAGTTAGCACATGTTCCCTCAATGAGTCATAACTCATAAGACTCATAGCTAAACATTTTACATCAAAAAGGGGGAAATCACAACATACAAATGATAACAACATTAAAACAAGCTTGTCTTGTTTTTGACAGAATATCCAATATGAGGAGACAATACATCCTAATAAATGCAGCTGATAAAGTATAAAAAAAATACCATGTACTCCTGCATAATGTACTGACCTAATACGAGCACAATAATGTACCAGCCTAATACAAGAACAATAATGTGCTGGTCTAATACAAGCACAATTATGTACATCAACTACATTCCAAATAGTGATTTATTTAGTATCCATGGCACATGTTCTCTCCTAAAATTATGCTACCAGCTCTGCAATAACTTAACTGAAACATTCAAAGCGTTTCGGGGCTCTATAACCAACAAACCCAACGTGTTCAACAAACCCCATCCATTTGTGAGTCAATATTAAAATCGGCAAAAATAAAATCATTCAGGTATACCCACTCATTCCATAATACAAATCATCCAACAAATTCTAGCAAGCATCCTTTATGGTTTTGCACATTCCTCCCTTGTTTTACGCTGGTGATAACCCAACAACCCTAACAACTCTACTATCAACATCTATATATACGAGCCTCGTCTATGTTTATTCTTGCAACTCGACAAGTTTCGTGTAGTACACACAATGGCAACGTTGAGAGCATTTACAGGTCTCATAACAATAGCCGTTCTTCTTCGGGCTGCATTGGGAGCAGATCATGTGGTCGGAGGTGCTGGTGGCTGGGAGCTAACCACCGACCTGAGCTCATGGGCATCGGCTGAAACTTTTAAAACTGGCGACACGCTCAGTAAGTCCACCGTAACTTGTACACTCACTCAATTCGTTTTTTGTTTTTTTTTTCTTCACTTTTGGGTTGTCTGTTGTAACTAGTACATTTATCGTGTTTGGTTCAATAACTATACGAATTGAATGAAAGTAAAACTGATATAAAGACATAAGAGATACGACAGAACCGAATAAGATGGAAAATACATATAATAATGCGATACATGAACTATTCAAAATAGATTATTATTATTATTATTATTATTATTATTATTATTATTATATAAAGTACTTTTTTTCAAATCATAGTTCACCAAGATGTTCAGGACATCTAAAGAGTTAGAGATTAGACCTTCGGATCGCCAAAAACAGATTCATATCCACGTAATCAAAGACCAAAATAATTTCAGTCATCCGATCAATTCAGACACCTAATTCGCCTTTATCCGCAGCTTTCTCATATGGAGCTCAGCACTCGGTAATCGAGGTACCAAAAGCCGACTACGATTCATGCTCCTCCACGAACGCAATAAACAGTTACACCGACGGCAACACCGTCATCAAGCTCTCCTCCCCGGGTACAAGACACTTCATCTGTGGAACCGCAGGGCACTGCATTGTACTTTGCTGATTTTAAAAATTTGGGATGAACACTTTGTCATTGCTACAAATTAGGCTAAAATGCCAATTTGGTCCTCGCACGGGCTCTTCATGTTCAAATTGATCCTTTATACTTTTTTTTTTCAACTTAGTTCTCCTACCCTTGTTAAATTTAAATTTAGTTATTTTTTAGTATCCTTTAAATTTTGGGTGTTAACTTTTTGTTTATAATCATAGTACCATTGATGGCATGAAATAATAGCCCCTGTACTTTTGAATTTCTTATTCTATTATTATTTTTTTTAAAAGAGAAACGGATGGGATCATACAATCCGAGCCAACTACTTCCATCGGCCTAATGCCCGGGTTTATCAAAGCTCTTCTTATGCCCGGCCATAGAATGAAAAGATAAGACGATATCAGTATCTCATTGTATCATATATGACATATTAGTCACCATTCCAACTGAACCTTTTGTACGTCCACAGAAAAAACAGCTACTGCAGAAAAGGGAACAACAAAAGACCAATATATAAACTCTTAGTTGGGGTTATTCATTGGGGTAATTTTTGGGATAATGAGATAATTTTTGGAACAACAATGTTTGGTGTTATTCATTGGGGTATTTGGAACTGATGTAATCTTTGTGGTGTTATTGGTTTGTTGGGGATAATTAGGGACAAATACTCCACTTTTTCCTAAATTACACCAACCATATTACATTCCTCAGCCCCCAAGCCCCAAATTACCCCATTTTGCCTGCTGGAACAAAAGAGGGGAACCAATTTACCCTCATTCCGTTCTCCGATCCAGAAAAATTCGCGAGGGCGGAGGAGGACATGGCGGTGATCAGATCTGGCGAGGGTGGAGTTCGAGCTGGTCGGAGGGCTAGAGGTCGAGCTGGTCAAAGGGTTAAGCCTGTAGAAGTAAAAAATATATGACATCCTCTGTTTCTTTAAAGCTACGGTCCGGTGGTTGGAGTTGGATTGGTAACAAGCGTGATGATGGTTTTGCTGATTTGAGGACTAGGACTGTTTGTTGTGGTTTTGCCATGGATTAATAAGCTACTGTACTAGTTCTTTGGTATGAATTTCTATTTGTTCGTTCACCCGCTTTAAAGATGCAGCAACAAGAAGAACCAGGCAAGCCATTAATCCAGTCTTTAAAACTCAAATCTTGAAAATACTGCGGCCAGAAGCATCTCACTAGCAAAGATGCCAACAACCGCGAATCGTGCTGGAATGAAATCAAATATCAATATGATAATATTTAACATTCATCCAAAATCTTCAAACCCATTTTTAAATAAGAATTTTATTCTCCGGGTCCAAATTCAAATGCGAAACATAACTGGAAAAAGAGAGCTAATATTGAGATTTTTCAGGATAAGAGAGCTAATATTGAGATTTTTCAGGATATTATTAGAATCTAGATTTAAAAAAAAATTAGAGGAATGAAAACATAATATATGCAACAACACAAAGTATTAACAATTAAGTGTACAAACAAAAATGGACAAATGAATTGATATATGAATACTTATATCTGAATAGTGTATTATAAGAATATCAACATTAAAATGCTATTCTGAATCAAATTTGAACAACAAATTAGATAAATAGTCATCTAAGTATTTGATACTTATGCAAACAACCCCCGCTCCACTAACAGCTAAAGTACTAGTCTAGATACAGATAAATCAGAAGAAAATTGATATCCTAATAGACACCAAGTCTGAAACTTGAAAGCAATGCCGAACTTTCAAATCTAGGTTTGTCATACCCGACGGCTGACGGGACAAAATTTCCCACATAGCACTCCGTAATGAGAAAGAATCAATTGTTTAAAGAAACAGAGGATGGCATATATTTTTTACTTCTACAGGCTTAACACTTTCAAGCGTTTCTTCGGAACGCAAAAAAACTAGAATCGGTGACAGGATTCACAGTAATGATAGGGGATAAGTGATCAAGATATTCATCACTTAAACCAAATAGTCACCAGTTATGAACACCGAACAACTAAAACAAGTTGTCCTCAATGTTAAAACATGAAATTAAACAGCAACGACCAACTGATGTCTTAAAGGATCTTTCATGGACAATTACACGAGGCTTCCAACAGCTTCCAACAGCAGTTACAGACTAAGCATCCTATAAAGCCTAAGCCACAGGGGGGCAAGATGCAGCATCCTGTGAGGTGTCAACATCTGCAGGTGGCATAAACTGCCACATGGGATATCCAGGATATCCAATGACGGGCATCATCATCTTGTGGGTTCCAGTTTGCCCTTGGGGAGCAAAAGCAGCTGGTATTACAGGAGGATGAGGCATGAAGCTTGGCCGAGAATTCAACAATTTAACTTGCTGCTCCAGATTCTCCTTCTCTTGCTTTAGTCTCTGCTTCTCATCACGGAGCTCGTTCTTCTCCGACTGCAGTAACAGATTTAATCCAATCATCACCTTAGCTCATAAGGATAAGCATTTACGTCAGTTCATATAACAGCGACTTGGTGTTAAAAAACCCATGTCCACGTCATGTCAGTATCAGATACAAGACTACCTATTGTGCCCTCGGTGTTGCATTGCTACTATTTAGAACTTTTCATGCATCAATAAACCATGAATGTCTTTTTCCATGAGCCCATGTATTTACTTTCCTAGATAATAAGAGGTAAAAGAAATTGTTTGGAGAAAGTCTTTATATATTTACCATGTAATCGACTGTGCCCGTTTATTATAATAGGCAGAGCATGCCTTTAGATCCTAATCCAATCTTAACATATGACAACAATATATTGATACGCACAGGACAATATAGAAAGCATTCATGGTGCCATCTCAGCTCTGAATACCAATAGTTCAAATCTTTTCCATATAAAACTAAACTAGTTTGCGGTCCGTGCAAAGCACGATGATAAATTTTTTCATGCTACAACAATCATGTTTCGTAAATATTATAGTAAGTTTTTTGAATTGCTACAGCATCTCGCATTTTGCAAAGTGTTTTGAATTGCTACAGCGTCTCGCATTTTGAAAAGTGCTACAGTATTCGCGTGTGCTACACTAATAGGGGTCACTGTTCATAAAAGCAATCACAAGTTCTTTTGTTTGCTACAGTATCTCGCTTTTTAAAATGCTACAGTGTTCCTCTGTTCATACCACAGTGATTATTTTACTGTTGAAATTACTGTAGCATGAATAGGAATTATCTGATCCTCCTATCTATACAAAGGAATAGATGTTTTAAAATGCTACAGTGTTCGACTGTTCATACTACAGTAAGTATATTACTGTTGAAATTACTGTAGCATGAATGAATTCTCTGGTCCTTCTATTTGTATAAAGGAATAGACTACACATTGTTCAGATATAAAATTTGACAATTCTAAAAGATATGTGAAACTTACTCCACCGCTACCCAAGTATCAACAGAAAAATCAATGCACTACACCAAACACAAAGCATAAAGTCCCAAAATTCTCCCAAATTCTATTGTAAGGGTGCTATTTGCAGACGTACCTAAGGTGTCATTAAGTTGTTAACTCTCAACAGCTAGTATCACACGATAAGCTAAATTAATTTATCGCCAGTAATGACATGACACCTTAGTATCATATTGACAATACCATATCAGATTGACGGTACCACGTATATGGTCTTTTTCCCCTTTTCCTGCTAAAAGTTTAAGATGCATGAAATCATGTCTTAAGAACAGATTACCTTACTTTGAAGAAACTATTTAAAGTGATATTTTCCAAGATCCTTTTCAGTCCCACGCTTCTATCATCTTCTAACTGTCCCACCTCTTCTTTCTTTCCTCCGAAACTGTAAGTTCCTCCAACCATATGTAAACACATTAACTCCTAGACTCCTTCAATTTTAGACAATAATTTTTTAACTTTTGACCGGTGTGACAGGACTATATCATAATCTCATCCAAATGGCATGACGAAAGAACCAAATACCTGCTTGAACCTACAACAGTGACAACCAAAGATACTAGACACACCTAAGTTGTTCAAACTTACCAACTTGATACATAGAATGAATAATGCTCTAGTAATCGAAAAAAGGCCACGACAGCTGCTTTAGCGTCTTCCATATCCTAAAACATTGATTGCAATTATGACAAACTGTTATCCAGGTTAGTAGAATGACACAATGGACAATAAGAGATGGTCTTTGTGCAAACAATGCATTTTTGCATGCCAAAAACAGAGTGGCAAATTATTAAAGAAATTACATCATATACCGTTTTACAATAAACATGTAATGGTAACCTATTGAGTAGGCATCCCAATCTACTAATGCATCAGATGCCATAAGCAAGGTCAATGGATACAATTATAAAAGTAATGAGACCACATGGCTAAGGAATCAACTAATGGAACTAATGTTCCATCCATCAACCAATAGATTCACATGGAGAATGAGCACAGAATAGGGAATGTCTAAACATACACAACTTATCCCGTACAAGATTTGACATGTCTATTATAACTTCTAAGCCATGCATAGATACAAATAATTATTAAATATAAATTACAATAAAAAAGATGAGTGTGCTGACCTTCAGCTCTTTGATCTTCTCCATGAGATTCTCATTAGAATCTTTCAACTTTTGTGCTTCACTTCGCAACTGAGTCACCATCCTAACAGCATCGCTCAAAATTGCTGCTTTATCTGTTTTAGGGTTTCCAGGCTCCAATATGGATCCTAACTCCAGGAACCTGCCACAAAAAAGGACAGTATAATTTAAAATAAGAAAGACAAGGTCAGGACATAATGTAACAGAAGTATAGGTATGCCACGAAGAATCATAAAAAGATTAAACATACTTATCATTCAACCTATCCCTTCTCATTTTCTCCCTACAAGCTTTAGAGCCAGGTACACTGCCAGATTCTGACCTCACACTACAAGTCCAATGCTTAGTGCTTGCAGAAGAAACAAAGGTAAAACAAGAAAATCTAAATCAAAATAGTGAGATCACAATCAACAGGAGTCAAACCGTTTCTTGAAGCCAGATTCTTTAACAGCAGCAGAGTCTACCAAGTTGCCACCAGTTTCCATACTATTACAGCACAAATAATCATATTAGTATGAGGAAACAGAATGTGGCGTGAGAGGGAAAATTTTGACAAATTGACAAGATGAATGGATAATGACTACTCATAAAAGCAAATAGTTTAGAGCCATGGCCCACCTACCTTTCTTCCTACAGAGGTATAATGGTATTAAGATCTTTTAACCTTTTAACATATTTGAAGTTCGTTTTCAGTATGTTCAATATAAAAACTCTTGAAACTTTGAAGTCTTATAAATCTATTTCTATTCTAGTATAATTTAAGTGCTCAGCTAGCTTCTCTATTTATCCATCTACAACTATATTATTAAAGAAGTAAACTCAGAAAGATAGATGTCATATTGTATCAAATATAAAAAAATATAAAAATATAAAATGGAAACCACTAAAATTAGAGTTCTTTAATATTCTACTGTATCCAGAGTTCCTATACAAGTTTACAATCTTAATTTAATTAAATCCACGTATATATCCAACCATCAACAAATTCTGAAGCCTGATTAAATAAACCATCAGTTAGAAACTTAAGCTCCTAAATTTTTGATGGAGCATTTTCATAAAATGTATAACAGGCTACTATTCTTCTTTCCCATTGAAGTTCTCTTCAAAATGATGGTACTTATTTCTAATATTAGACCTAGAATGAGCAAAAAGGAATCACATAGGACCCTTAAAGGCTTAAACATCTTGTCACCTCTCGCACAAGTTGATGTCAATAGCAGGTAGTTAGCGAGGTGAAGTAGCACTTTATAAATTGCATCAAATATTGGTGGCATGACTCGGTTAAGATTGCTATAGAGCAGTAACAATCAAAGTAGATGCATTCCCTATAACACCATAAGCAATATGCACTGAAGAGAGCTCATTTACCAACAGTATAAAAGTTAAGGCAGCAAATTTCATCAATAATTTGTACTCCTCTTTCATGCAGGAGAGAGGAAACAAACATACAGGAGCACATGCCATTGTGTAGTGTAAACCTATTAATCTTGAACTTCCCGTTCCATAATTCAAGATTCAAGTGTAATTCAAGAAGCATCAAGTACCCTCTCTAAACCCCAAGATCAACCAAACATTCTATTGGGACGTCTAGAATAAAAATCTAGCGGTCAAGTAAATGAGATTAACTATTTTTAGTGGTTTGAGAAATAAAATATTCAACTAACAATATTCCCCCAATTTGGCCACCGGTGTACAGGTCACTAGCATTTGAACTAGAATGATTTTTGTCTTCTTTTTCTTTTTCAAATCTTGTAAATAATACCAAAATCAATATGGCTATCACTAATAAGATTAAGATTTATAAATCAACATATCAAAACTACTAGAATGAACAGCAAACAAGAAAGAAACGAAAAAAAATTAAAATAAAACAATAAAATACCTAGCGCTAGGAGTAGAATTGATCCCCTGTGGAGACCAGAGTAATCCATTTCCAGGGACCCCGAAATCGCCGCCAGCGACGGAAATGTTGTCGATCAAAGGGTAATCGAAACCCCAACTGGAGTTTTCAGGCGAAGCCATCTCCCAAGTTTGCACCTGAAAACCCTAACCCTAAGTTTTGGGGGCAAAAAAAATCGAAACTCTTGCGGGTTTTTTATGGAATTGGTCACCGAGGGATTGGTCGCAAGTGGAGGAGAGGAGCTGAAGAGATTCGTTCACGCGTCAAAATTGGGTTTTGAAAGAGTAAACACTTAAAAAAATAAGGCCTAGAAGATGCAAGGACATAAATGGGTCTTGGCCCACTTATTACCTTATTCTATATTGGTAGCTTTTTATAATGATAAATTTTTTAAAACAACCCATTTGAGAAATTAATAAGAAAAATCAACTTTCTCCCCCCAAAAAATTAGCAAATCGACTCTTTTTATCCTAGCTCAAATGAAGACGATCGATTTTGCTGTTGGATTTTTTGAACTACACGAGACTACTAGTCTCGTGTAGTAGTCTCGTGTAGTTAGGACATGCTAATCCACGATTAGCCATGCCAAACCAAGTAGTCTCGTACATTTCATGCGAAAGGGCCCAAGTCTCTGCTTAAAACTCGGGACTGCTAAAAACTCGAGACTAGCAGTCCCGAGTTTTAAGCAGAGACTTCGGTTGTTTTCCAGGAAATGGACGGGACTAGTAGTTCCATCCATTTCCTGGGCACAAAATCTAAATGCAGTCTCGTGCATTTCCTGTGCACTACATTGTGCACGTTCTTTTGCAAGGTCCATGTTAATTTCCTGTAAAAACATTGCAACCATATTCATTTTGTATTTCCTGTACAAATCTAAAAAGCAACTCATATTGATACATATCGTAATAAATCAAACAAATTCCCACCACAAATCACACCACAAACATTTACAAATCCAAAAATCATCTCACATCGATATAAAGACATAATATACTCATTCTCATCACACGACATAAATAACATATCAAAATAGGTTCGTTATCCGGTTGTGTTTGTGGTTGTGATGGTCCAGCTTCACTGTCAACATGTTGGGAAGGTCCAGCTTCATTGTTGTTTCTACGTCGTCCTTGGCTTTGTCATGGTTGACGTGTGTATACAATATCGAGATTGTCCTGTTGTATGACCTCTCGTCCATCATGAAGATATTCGTGAGCTCGTCTTAAGGCTTGGTGAAGCCTTCGCACTATCGACTGATATATCGATAGATGTTGCTATGCTTCGGGATATGTACCCGCGAGAGATAATTCAAAAAATCCAAAATAGTAAAATTACTTTAAAATTCAAATTACAAAAATCTAAATTTGAAATTTAATTCTATATTATCTGTTCGAGCAAATTCTATGTCATGATTTGCAATGGTTTGAACATCATTTATTGCTGCTACCTTCAATTATTCCAAAAACACATATTAGCAATATTGAGGAATACCAATAAAAATGGACGTTAAATCAAAATCTGAAAATACTTACTAACTCTCTCTCATCCATACCCCGGGGCACGTATCCTTTTTGCAAATCAATCGGTGTTGTGGGTGCATGGATTATCCATCTTCGGGTTATCCCCCAATACCAAGTATAGTAATCCGATTCCTGGGGAGTTAGCTCAATTTCCTCAACAATATTAAAATGACTGTCATTCCATCTGTGTATATAATCCCTATGCTCAGTTGTCCAGTCCTTTTGATGGCCTCCTTTCTTTGCCTTCCTCTCTATTTTTTCAACAAATCATGGAACATGTTGTGCAAGACCAAATTGTCGAAGCACGCGGTCTGGCACATGCATCTCTTCTATCTCAAAACATATAAGAGGAACTCTGGCTCTCCATGTAGCTGGGTTTTCTGTGCATACCGATGGTAGGCGATTGAGAACCTGAGTGTAGGGCTCTCATTCCATCTACAAAATAATTTACATATTTTTTGCATATCATTAAAACTAAAAGACATATAAAAGAAAAGGCTCATTTTTATAGAAAATATACCTGAAAAACCTTCATACGGTCAAGCTCATTTCGGTAAAAATCTAATTGTCTAGCTGGGGTCTTATCGTAACATTTTTGTATATTCCATCTATGTTGTTTTCAAAATTTAATATCGACAACAATAACTACAATTATATTTGCAACATTAAAAAATGGATATATGCATCCCAGTGGAATTTGTCCATCTAATTGTATATGCACCCACAGTCTCGGCTTCAAATGAAGTTTCTCCCATCCTCATACTTGCAGTAAGTTTAGACACCCTTTAAAGTCATTGTTTTGTATGAATGCCACATTGGAAATCTATCCGTATAGGTACACCAAAACAGCACGGTCCCACGATAACGCACCACATGCGTCCAAGTCCTCGAGGAGTGGTAATCCCATAGTATATTCACAATATTTTCAATTTATTAAAAGAAGTTAATTCAATGAAATACATATTCAAAATACAAATACACATACCTCTCATGCACTTTATCTTTACTCGAATCTGGAAATAATATTAAACCGATCATGTGCATAATATATGCATGTGCATGTTGCTCAATCAATATATGTGGCGCATCAATAGGCAATGACTCTGAGAAGGTCTCTTTCAACCACTTCAATCTAATATTCCCTTTAGGCATTGACTCTGGAGCTACACCTAACAACCGCTCACATTTGGTCCGCCATACAGCTTTATCACTACCAGTAATATAAGGACCATCTACGCGAAGACCGAGTATGATAGATACATCTTGTAGAGTAATGGTCGACTCTCCCATTCGGAAATGGAAAGTATTAGTCTCCAGTCTCCATCTATCTATCAAAACGGTGAGTATGAGCCAATCTAGCTTCATCCAACGGAGCTTTGAACATGCCAAGAAGCCGGCCCGTCCTATAGCTGTAATGATACGCTCATCCTCTCATCGCCAACGGCTATGGCCGAGGCTATGATCAACCATGACGATATTTGGGCCTCTCTGTAGAGTAAGGAAATAAAGTATAAGAATGCAATATTGTAATAATAACAATACACAATACTAATAATATGTATTGAGCAACTTAATTACCTCTTTAAATGATATAATATCTGAACGGTGTCAAGGCTGGTCATATAAGACCTCATCACTAACCGGCCCGGGTAGCATGATGTAGATACATGCACATACAATTATTACACATATTAATAGCACTATATACTAATTACATTCCTTTATTAACATATATTAAAATTTGAACACTCAATTATTACCAATTAATTACTATCTATTGGGTCTAGATGGACAACGAGGTCGAGTATGTCCCAGTTGTTTGCAAAAACTATATTTTTTATACTTGACAACTCCTTCTCATCCTTGATCTATGGTTCCCCTAATTCGCACAAATCACGGTTGACCTGCTTATCTCTTGTATTGAGGTGGAATTAGACGTGGTCCATTATATTCGGGCCAATACCGACTATCATCGGGAGGATGAAAACTCTCACTATATGTCTTTTGGTAGTGAATTGCTGAATACCACAACGAATAATACCGATTATAGGGAATTCTAGCGTCTTCGGGTTGATTGGAAGAAGCCGCAAGAACATGTGCACAAGGCATTTTTTAGAGTTGTGGTATGTTACAAGTACAAGTACAATCAACATCAAATAGTTTAAAAGTGTAGATACCGTCACAATCATGTACCTTCCATTAGTTGTCATTGAATACTGTAATTTAACATAATCTTGCTACCTCAATTCTTTTATGCAAAATAGACTCATTTTTCGGTGTGTAACGTGTTGTCTAGTCTACGCCATCATCACGCCTTTTGTTGAAGTATGCATTTAGCCTATAGAACGTTCTCGTAACCAAGTATTGTATTGGCATAGCTCGTGCTCCTTTAAGTACACCGTTAAAGCTCTCGGAGTAACTAGTTATCATCATACAAAACCGCACACCACCATCCTTACATAATGCTCATTGATGCTTGAATTGAGGCTTCAAGTTATTTTCAATCCAGTTATGTGCATCTAATGACAAAGACTTGATTTTCTCCCTATAATGTTCATACACTAATGTATCAGTTGCACACCCATCTTTCCACAAAAGAGTTTGCAAATTAATCTCATCGTGCTTTTTCTTGAAATTATCTCTTATATGTCTTAAACAATATCCATGGTGATATTGTGCACCATAACCCTCATGCAACGCTCTTATAATTCCTTTCATCCTGTCTGAGATAAAAGTAATTATTCTTGGCGTACAGATACTTAGAATTAACTTATATATAAGTTCAAAGAACCACTTCCAACTAGAACAATCCTCTACCTCCACGACTGCAAATGCTAAAAGAAATAAATCGTCATTTGCATTTACACCGGTCGTCATAAGAAGCACGCATTTATACTTGTCATATAAATGTGTGCCATCAATGCTCAATAACGGACGATAAAAAATGAAACCCTTAATAGTAGGACCAAATGCCCAAAATACTCGAGTGAACCTCTCTATCCACGGTACGATCTCTTTGGAGATTATTTCATATTCAGTATCCGGATTATTTCGCTTGATATCTTCAAGATATTTTATAAGTAATTCATAAGAAATTTTCCCAATCTCTAAATATTTTATACAACACTTTCCTCCTTTCATCATATGTCTTATATTTAGATATATTAATGCCCCGCATATCATATACCCTTTGAAATATTTGACCTGCATTTAGATCAAGTTCAGCTCTCACTTTAGGCATAATTAACTTACATATATAAGAGGAAGATACAGAGTAATGATCGACATCCACCGACGGATTGCAATATGTATGAAGTCTGCAATATCTAGATATTATAATTTTACCATTTGATGATTTTATCACAGCTGCATTTAGAAACCAAGGACATTTCGTGTTTCTCTCATCCTGCTCACTTGCATACTCTACTTCAATCTTCTCATTAAATTAATATTTTACTTGGTACTTTGTTACATTAGTTTTTACCGGCTTGAATTTGACCCGATTCTTGATGGACCATTATCAGATTGCAAAGATCAATGCCTCCTTGCTCTCGAATAGATACTCTTTTTTAAAAGTAAAGTCCTCAGGCCGTTGAAAATTTGGACCAACATCAACAAATTCAGGTTGTAAAGTATTTATCCAATCCTCATTATAAAACTAGTCGGGCAACATATCTTCAGCTTCCACATAATCATTGTTAACATAAAATTATTCCATCCAACAGGAGTCATCATCGATTCTAGTAGCCACATGCATGCTATCAATTTGCACGCCATCTTCTTCAACATCTTCTGAGTCATCATTTGCTTCTTCTTCTATAAATTGATATGGCCGGTAAGTCACCAGTAACGTGGCCCGAAGCGTTGTTAAATATAGTACTTGATGCACCCACCAAGAGAATGTCTGCTTAAATGTTATAGTTGAGACCATGACTCTTGACTTGGAGATGTCATAAAACCACTCCATTCATTGTCTAAGTCAAGTATACGGGAGAACTCTCCTTGAGGTCGCGAAACTTGGGCAAATTTGAGAATTGAATACTTCTCAATGAACAACTCAATTGGCACTTGCTTATTGACTAATTGTGTCATGTCATTCAACTCTTCACCGTCGGTGATCTCCATGACAATTGTTCTATTCTCATTTATCGGACAGTTGAAGAACACCTTAGTTGCATATTCTTCTTTATTGATTTTAGTAACTCTGTGTATTTTCTTCATCATTCCATCAAAATTACACGACTTAGGTAGCATAAACATTTTCCTAGAACCTCCCTCATACATAAGCATATTATTCATTCCGACACTGAGGCTCCCATTGAAGAAGCAAATAACGGGTATAGAGTTCGCCATCGAAACTAAAAATCAACAGTCCATCATATGCAATTAATCTATTATAACTATTTAAAAATCTCAATTGAAAATCAAATTTAAAACCTTAATCTCAATTGAAAAGCAAATAATGGTTAAACCCTAATTCCCAAATCACATTATTCATCATATTTCACAAAATAAAAACTAAAAAATTTCATATCCAAAATCATAAACACTAGTCAATCCATGTCATTCATCAAAATTCTCACAAAAAAATTACAATTCACACCACAAATTTCATATCCTAATTATAATTAAACCCTAAATCAAAAAACATATTATTCATATCAAAATTTATCCCTAGCCTGATACATCCATATCAATAATCAAATTCACAAGAAAATAGTGAAATTTTTTACCTTGATTGGAGTTTGATGTGATCAGAGACGGTTGTGGTCGCGAGCGTGGACGGAGGCGCCTGTCGTCGCGAGCGCGGTCGGAGGCTGGGGTTGAGAGCGCGATCAGAGGTTGGGGTGAGCGTGATCGGAGGCTGGGACGAGCGTGGTTGGCGGGATCGCGAGATCTGTTGTGGGGAGTCGTGAGATCTAATTGAGGTAAGGAAAAAGGGGAGGGGAGGGTCGCGGGGGCTGAAGCACTTATATATACCAAAAGGACGGGACTAGTAGTCCCGTCTATTTGGTTTGTCATGGCTAATTGTGGATTAGCATGCCCTAACTACACCGGACTAGTAGTCCCGTGTAGTTCAAAAAACCCCGACAACAAAATCGACCGTCTTCATTTGAGCAGGGATAAAAAGGGTCGATTTTGCCGATTTTTTGGGAGAATGTCGATTTTGCTCATTAATTTCTCCAAAGGGTTGTTTTAAAAAAATTCCAATTATTAGGAGCTAGAAAACATGTAATCAGGAATAATTAATTTTCCCTCTTAAAAAGAATTTAATTAATCAATGATTGGATAAGCAAACTTAATTATTAACAGTTTACAATGTGATTTTCTGAAGATGGAAAGTAAATTAAGAAGTTAAGTTTGATTTATATAATGTGAAAGGGAATTTTAATTAAATATTTGGATGTATAATATCATGTTTATATTATACAAAGGAAATAATGGTCTATGGTCTCTAGAATCTTGTTGATCCAAAAAAAGTTGTTTTTGTATTTTGCTAGTAATCCGCCACATGCAATGCGTGCATGATACGATATGACACACATTTGTGCATAAAAATTTTTTGTCAACACCTTAATAATCTTTATCAACACATGTAAAAATAATAGTTATAAAAGAGAGTTCAATTGCAATAGAGGAGAACTTTGGAAAGGATCTGTTATTTTGAAAACTTGGGGATAATAATGAAATAATTGATGGCTTGTTAGTTACTAAATAGTAGGAATAGTTATGAATTAGATTGTTGTTTTTACCCCTCTTCCAAACTTATTCCTCTACTAAGTTCTATATTATTTTTGTTAAGAAAAAGGTCTATATCATTAACAGTTGTGTACATAGCCGTAGGACACCAAAAAAAAGCATTTTTTAAATAATAGTAGTACATTCTCTTATTTGTATTTAAGTACACAATTTATTAGAGAAGAAACGAGATGGAAGACGAAATAGAATAAAAATAAGGACTAAGATGTCTTTGAACTAGGATGGCGTTTGTGTTTTGGTTCGATCATTGTCTCATTTTTTTCTCTTTTTTTATTTTGTATATAATAGAGGATACTTCGGACGTCATTGCAATAATTAAACACAAGAATATGATTTTTCAGATGCTAGTATAGTTGTTCAACCGTCAGCAATAACAAAGCATTTTCTCATTATCCACTTTGCTTTAATTAAGATTCATATTTTCCTTTTTTTTTAAATATACAAATTCATAGCGTTAATTAATATTGTTCAAGCAACCTAACCATATGGCTCTGCGATTCATATAATAAAGCAGACCATTAATATACCAA